TTATATCTATGATTTAGAAGATAAAAATATGACTACTCTCATTTTTTTTTAAATGCACCCAACTATGTACACACCCTAGCCCGTACGTTACCTTCCCCCCTACCCACGGCCTCGCCCAACAGCACCTGCCACCGACTAACCAACATCGGGAACCTTCGGCCACCGAAAAGTTCATTGAAAATTTAAAAGTAATATACAAAAATAAGACTAAAATTACTATAAATAGAATATTATTATCACATAATGTGAAAGTTGAACATAAGTTATGTGACTAAAGTAACTATTATAGTAATCACATTTAAGAGACCACACTTTCATAAATAAATTTTATTTTGGTTATAATTATGTAATTATTTCAAAAATACCTAAGTTTGTCCTCTACAATAGTAGAACGACCTATTTGAACATTTTCACTAAAAATATATTTATGTATAATTTAAGAATGACATAACACATGCACTTTCACATAATTTAAGAATGACATAACACATGCACTTTCACTCAACTAACATTTTCTCATAAATTCATATTTGAGTATTGTTTAATAATGCCATAACACACTTTCACATATTTGCACACCCCCTGATTTGCCAATTTACCCGGGCAATTCGTGTAAAAAGTGCAATTCGTATAAATTCATTGTCACCATATTACTCGAGATGTTTATACTTACATTTATTTCAGTCTCAGACCGAACCAAACATAAACAAACCAGACCAGACCATACTTGGATATTAAAAATAGTAGAAGCACCTATTTGAACATTTTCCCACAAATTTAGCTTCAAGTATAATTCGAGAATGACATAACACACATTCACATTCACATAATTTACTCCCTTATTTTACCTATTTAGAGAGACAATTCGTCTAAAAAATGCAATTCGTGTAAAATTATAGTCACCTTATTACTTAGTCATTATAAATAATTTATCTTCAATTAATTTATATAAACCTTTGAAAATGAAAAAAAAAATGGCAAAATCATTTGTGCATCGCAAGGTGAATCACTAGCAAAACATTTTACTAAAAGAAATGATTTTGACATAAGTTAGTGCGAGCTAAAATGTGTTGATTCCTAAGCATTCCTATTAACAACTTCAAATGTTAATCGTGCGATGCACGATCAGTCGATGAGATACAGATGTACTATGACTGTATATACATTTTTGCGTGCGAGTCTGCTTGGCGCATGTTTGGGTTTGAAATTTAATATAAGACCTCGGCAGTTGAACCTTTGAGCTTCCATTTGCCGGAAGAACAAAGCGTTGTCTTTTGCGATGATCAGCCTCTGGATTCAGTGGTTCGGGCATGTTCAGTTCAGGACAGTATGTTCACAGCATGGATGAAGGCCAATAGGAAGTACCCGGAAATAATGATTTAGTATTGCGAGCACATCGATTTCAATGCATATTTACAATGTTATGGTTTCAACGTATTTGTTGGATGTTTTTTTATCTTTAAAGTAATGCTTAGTAATCTCATTTTGACCATAATATTATAAGTGTTTTTTCGTTTAATTCTTTGATGTATATCTGTATTACATGAAGATAGATGTCATCATCAATTGATAGTGTGATTTGAATTACTAAGCACACATAAATTTGAAAGAACAATTCTCAAACCGTGCATCGCACGGGTGAGTTTACTAGTATAGTAAACATATACCTTTTAATACAAAAACATGTACATAGCAACTTGGTTTAAAAATGTGGAATCATTTAATCCTACTTTAGCTAAGTCAAATTTCAGAGGATCATTTATCACTTAATAATATCTAAATTTGCTCTTAAATTTGACTAATCAATTGGTCTATATATCAAATAAGATTTGATCGAACTTTAATACTCCATGTTATTTCTTCTAAAAATGCTTAATAATAAAACACTAACACTAAATAATACCGAGTACTGTGTAACTGCAGGTTATATCATAAATCAGTAATGAATCATAAAATAGTACATGCATGCATATCTAACTTATTCTAATCTATATTCCATTTAGTTATGTATCATGATAATTGATCTAACCACTAATTATAACCTTTTCTTTCTTAAATATGATTCACAGATACTGTTAATTATAGAAAACCACTAATTGATCTAACCAGGTTATATTCCTTTTTTCACTCTGCTTCTGCTGATAAACCCATGAAAGCATTTGCTTCTAAGCGGTCAAGAAAAAGTTCAAGAACAGTTCGTGGAGATATATTCACTTACCTCACATACAAAAGAGATGGTGATGTCAAGCGTTCATGTGCTTTTTGTCTTGACGATGTTTTCTTGAGGTAATTGTTATTTTCATACTTTTGTTACCCTGTAAGAAACTATTTAATGGATTTTCAAGTATTAAGTTCAGACCTTGGGTGTGACCTATTGTGTTCTATTTCCTTTGTTGATTTGTCCTTCCCATTGTGACATTCATTCTTGGGGTGCCGTTTGTTGATGTTTTTGTCCTCAATTTTTTTCTTGTCTGAAAACAAAAACAGAGCTTTGAAAATTATTGGGAACAAGTGTTTCTTCATTGATTTTGAAAGCATGTTTCCAAGATCAGCTCTATGTATAAAACAATTAGAATTCTAAATCATATACTACGTATTTTGTTTCACGGAATGTGTTTTTTTCTTTTTGAAAACTTTTAGAAATTTAAAACAGATAAAAGAAAAGAATAACAAAATTTTGAAAACATAAAATGCGAAACACAACACATAAACGTTGCTAAATAAATCTTTCATTTCGTTAGCTATTTTAAAAATTATTCACGTGACCATTCGTCCATTCATCCCTATCCATGTACTAATGTGCGATAACATTTCCAGGAATGCAATCTGATATGAAGCGGGAAGAGCATGGGACGGGACGGGCTTGAGCCCACCTACGTGGGCTGGCTGCGAGCAATTTAATTAATTTTAATTATTCCTTTTATTTTGTTTCCTAATTTATTTTGTTTCCTAGTATGATTTAATTAGGACTTCTATTAATTAGAGGTTTCCTATTTCTATTTAGTTTCCTTGAATGGTTTAATTAGGACTCCTATTATGTTTCTTACTAGGATTTAGTTTCCTATTCAGTTTTGGATGTAAGGGTTATATAAACCCCTGTCTAGGCTTATTCAAATGAGGCATTAATAATATTGGTTTTAGCTATTTAGCTCTGGGCAACGGATCCAGCCGTTGATTATTTGGGTAACGGGTTACCCCGTTGATTTTATTTTTCTGTTCTTATCAATTGGTCCGACCTGCCGGATCCCGTCCCGCCAAGATGACGAGATCTCAGAATGATCGATTGACAGAGCTGGAGAACGAACCAACTCGTATGAGAGAAGAAGTGACCCGGATAAGGGCCGAACAGGCAGAGCATGGTGGCAAGCTGTCGGAGATCATCGCCTCACTAGCGGCGTTGACCCAGGCGATGGTCCCGCCGGTCACACCGAAGAAAGCCGCGGATGACGTGGGTCGAATCCCGGCAACCGAGCTGCATGGAGAAGGCGTGCTGAGCAATCCAACTATAACGCTGCTTTTGTCGTTCGATGGGGGAGACCCAATTGGGTGGATCACTCGGGTAGAGCAACAGTTCGAATTACACAACACTTTTCCGGAAAACAAGGTGGCTGCCGCGATGGTAGCTATGGAAGGAGGAGCGCTTTATTGGGTGACCTGGCTGAGATCGCACAGGCCCAGGATGACTTGGGCAGATTTCAAGCAAGCCTTGGTGGACAGATTTGATTCTCGATTTCAGGGGAATAAGTATGAACGATTGTCCGGAGTCAGGCAAATTGGGTCTATAGAAGATTACAACATCTTGTTTGTTCAGCTAGCAAGCCAAGTTCTAGGGTTACGCGATGAGCACTATTTGGGATATTACATGAGCGGTCTTAAGGAGATAATCCGAAGCTCGCTGCGATTGCTCCGACCAAACAACCTGGAGATGGCTATGGAATTAGCTCGCGAAGTGGAGTATAATCTGTCCGTCCAAAGTGGAGAAAGTGGCAGCCTGAATTATCATTCATCAGGGGTACGTTCTATCAGCCTTTTAAGGGCAAACACAGGTTCCCCGTTGACTGCCATTGGTGGCAGCTTACAGGGTTCGGAGGGAAGCTTTGCGAAAGATAGTGGACAGCCTCCGGGGACGAAGTCAGGGTTGTCTGGGCAGCCTACGACACGCTCTCAGTTCACTCAACTTCCACCGAAAGAGTTCGCAAAACTACGGGCGAAAGGATTATGCTTTAGGTGCAAGAAACCATTTACACCAACACATGATTGTCCCTTTAAGCAGCTGCGGGTAATGATAGCTGAGGAGGATGAAGAGTTGGACCTCAAGCAGCATGAATTATGTGAAATAACCGGCCAGGAAAAGGTCCCGGAAAGAGTAGAAGGATATTTTCCAGTCTATACTATGTCTGGAAATATCAGTTCCCGATCCGCGAGTTTTCAACCTTGAGGACAAGGTTAATTTGAAGGAGGATGGATTGATATGAAGCGGGAAGAGCATGGGGCGGGACGGGCTTGAGCCCACCTTCGTGGGCTGGCTGCGAGCAATTTAATTAATTTTAATTATTCCTTTTATTTTGTTTCCTAATTTATTTTGTTTCCTAGTATGGTTTAATTAGGACTTCTATTAATTAGAGGTTTCCTATTTCTATTTAGTTTCCTTGAATGGTTTAATTAGGATTCCTATTATGTTTCTTACTAGGATTTAGTTTCCTATTCAGTTTTGGATGTAAGGGTTATATAAACCCCTGTCTAGGCTTATTCAAATGAGGCATTAATAATATTGGTTTTAGCTATTTAGCTCTGGGCAACGGATCCAGCCGTTGATTATTTGGGCAACGGGTTACCCCGTTGATTTTATTTTTCTGTTCTTATCACAATCATTTGCGATGCGTGCCAAGGTATTATGACATTCTATCTCTTTCTCATGATTGATGATTCTCTCTTGTGCTGGTCAGTGACTGGTAGTGTTGTTTCCCCACAGGTCTTTGTCATGAGGAGTGTACAATCACATCCACAGTTAGTCCAAACAATGACACTAAATGTGTAGTAGTCTCTTCTTGCAAACAATGTCATCAAAACTATACTGTCACACAATGTGCAGCCAGTAATGAATCTCCAAACAGCCCTCTTCTCTTGCAAGGGCAAGAATTTCCAAATGCTGATTCAGCCCCTCGCAAAGGTGGAGTGGTTGCTGGCTGTAAGCAGCTTTCTTCATCAACCCGAAGCAATCGACGTTCTTCTGAAGTGAAACATGATGGCAACTCAAGTTCAAAAGCAAAGATAAAGACTTGGGGAATCATCATGTGGAGAAAGCCGAATGCAATTGACACCGGCATGGATTTTAGAAACAAAAGCATTATCAGAAAGGGCAGTACTGTAAATGGGATTGGACCATCATGCCAGCTTTGCCATAGCAAATACAATCCAGACCTGATGTACATCCACTGTGAAACATGCCAACGTAAGTTTCTTGATTCGCCATACATACCCCATACCGTACTATGTTGGAATTTGTGGTTTTTAAGATTTACTGATGGTATATTTATTCTCCCCTATTAGGCTAGTACTTCATAAATTAATGTTAATAATTCATATTAACGTAAGTCATATTTTTGCAACACATGAGACTGAGGCGGAATAATGACCTTTTTTGTTTATATCATCACTCAAGCTCTGGCAAGGATGTTTCTGTAGTAATTATTTGTGATTCCAGATTGGTATCATGCGGATGCTGTTGAACTTGAGGAGTCAAAGGTGTGTGACGTCATGGGGTTCAAATGCTGCAGATGCCGAAGGATCAGAATACCAATATGCCCTTACTTAGATCCAGAAAGCAAAAAATTGCTGATGGAGAAGAGAACCCGTTCAAGATCTTCTTCGAGGACTGTAGTAGATGATCTTGGAGTAGATTCTGATTCCGGGACAATGATCTCATCAGAGCCTTGTACTCCAGTGGTGGCCCCACTCCTACTAAAGGATGAGGAAATACCTGAGGAGGATGAATTTATGTGTTACCTCTCTGCATTGGAGAAACAAACCACCAAACAAAACCCAGAAGTAGTTTCTTGCGAAGAAGAAAACACGGCGGCAGCACCTTTATCTGTTGGGCGAGGTACAAAAAAGCTTCCAATCAGGCGGCATGTGAAGCGTGAAGACAACTATGATTCTTTTGCTGACAGTAAAGGTAATAATGACAATTCTTCTCCAGTTGAAGACGGTGTGGTTGTGCTTAACTGTGACGGTCTCAGCTATGAGGATATGGAGTTTGAACCTCAGACCTATTTCTCTTTCAACGAGCTGCTTGAGTTTGATATGGGGAATGCCATGACAGAGAGGTGGGATAATTCATCCGTGGGGGTCTCACCACTTGATGAGACTCCACCGAATGTTGAATCTTCTCCTATGACGGCGGCAACTGCTGAAGCTGTTATCCCGTGTATGATGTGCTCACATACCGAACCCACCCCTACCCTCTTTTGCCAGACCTGTGGATTAAGGATCCATGGTCATTGTTCTCCGTGGGTCGAAGATCCGTCCACAGGAAGCTTCTGGAGATGTGGCAACTGCCGCGAGTGGAGATAACAGAACAAGTAGATGTTTCGGAGGGGACAGTTTTTGTTGCGGGAACATCACTATCCAAGTATGTGATTATTATTATAATAGAAAAATAACTACATGTTTCGAGGCAGGCTATTTGGAAGAAAAGTTTAGCTGGCATGGTTTATCACATGAATGCCCGATATGTCCACAGGTTTTATTAGTTCTATTCTACCCCTAAGGGTAGTGCCCGGAGACAATGTCACACACTCCCTTTAGGGGTAGCGTAGAAAGACACAACTGTCCTCATAAATATGTTACTGTGGCTGATGGGCTAAAGAGCAGGATGGTCTTTTGCAGTGTATTGAATAGCACGACAGATTGCCACAGATGATCATTTATTTTTTTGGGCGGGGGATTGGAGGGGGGTCTTATATGATATCTGTGCTGTAGGTTGTATGAAGCAGAAAGTTACGTTGGTAGTTTTCTTTTTATGATTTATTTATTGCCCGGGCCTGTTGCAGTGTTGGAAGTGTCAAGTATAGAAGAAAAATCCAACATTTGAGCTATTGTTTTTGGTTGCATATGGATCAAACTCGTGAAAGCAGTGGTTTTTTTTTTTTTTTTTTTGCAGAATAACCTTCAATCCACGCCCAAAATTTTACGAATCCAAGTGTTGTGCACTTGTGCTCTTAATTGTCTTTCTCAGTGTTTTTTCTTTATCGTATAAATACATACACATGTCTGTAAATAAACCGACGTCAGATTTTTTTTTTTCAAATAAATTCATAAAAAGAACTCTAAAAAAAGTCGGAAATACATACTCAAGCGTTGGGAATTTGGGAAATACCACTGGGTTAGGGATGGACTGGACTGGGATGGGCTGGCTAGTGATGGACCCGGGCCGGTTTTGGTTCGGGCCTGGGCTCGACCGGGCTTTTTTTGGAAGGGTGAATCGGAACCGGCCCGGGTAGGCAGCGGTTATGGGCCGGTTCCAGGTCGGGCCGGGCCGGTTCATGTTATTTTTTTTCTTTTGCTTTTCTTATTAGAGAAATTGCCTCATGTATGAGTAAAACATGGGAGAAATTCTAAAATAGGAGTATGTATGTTTTTTTCCTCAAAGTACTCTGGTGCCAAATAATCTCAATCACCTTGTAAAAAATCTCAATCACCTCATTTTCTCCTCCTCCTATTACAAGGTACTGTAATATGGAGCCATACATTTTTTACTATGAAATGTATTTTTTTTACTATATAATTATGCGGCGGAGAAAATGAGGTGATTGAGATTTTTTATTACCTACAGAGTATAGAAATTGAGAGGTAGTCATCAAAATATTTTGCACTACCATGCCAAAGCTCCCCTAGCTGTATTTTACACTACTTCGCCCCTGGCGCCAAATAAGGCTTGCATTTTTTGCTTTTTTTTTTTAAATCTTTACTCCGTATGTTTTATTAATACCAAAATTTTAATATTTTGCTTGGCAGGTTTTAGACAGGACGTTATCAACAATGGATAATCTGAGAAGGGCCGGTATTAGCATTCAAGAAGGATGCAGACTTGCCCCCGGGTGGAGGCGGTGTGGCAGCTAGCGGGAGTCTTGACCGAGAGTCAACAGATCCCTATTGAGCAGTGGCTGAAGAAGCATTTGTCGCAGCAGGCTAAAGAGGAACGAGGCAAATTCCTATCGCTCCTTTGGTGCATCTAGAAACGAAGAAATAAGTTGGTGTGGGAGGAAAAAAACCAAGAAGCTTCGGGTGTTGTGCATATGGCGGGAAGCATGATGATTAATTGGAGGGAAGCTCAATCGAGGGGGGTGATGAGTGCAGCAGCTTCGACGAGAGGGGGGTGATGAGTGCAGCAGCTTCGACGAGAGGAGGGGTGATGGCAGCAGGTACGACCAGGACGGGATGGAGGTGGATTGCTAGGGATGACCAAGGAGAGTTTATTCGGGCACAGGGTGTTTCACACCGGGCTGAGTGGACGGCTGAGGTGACAGAACCGTTGGAGACTCGGGATGCTATTCAAGGGCCTATTGAAGCAGGATGAAATAATGTGCTGATAGAGACAGATGCGCTCACGGTGGTCCAAGTAATAAAGAGGAAGAATGGTGGATCCTACTTACATATGGTTACCGATGATATTAGGGAATTTCTAGAGTTAGAGTAATATCTCTATCTCTTTTGTAAAAGGTCTGCGAATCATGTGTCTCATGCTTTAGCTAGAGCACATGTGACTACCAGATCAGCGGGTTATTTTTGAGGCTATTTCTGATTGTATTATTAGCCAATTGGCTAACGATCTTTTGAATTAATACATATTCGGTTTGACGATAAAAAATAGTATTAATGTAAGAGAAAAGGGTCAAATAAGGTCTTACACTATTATGAAATCGTCACATTAAGTCATGTACTGAATAAAGTGTCATATAAATTCGTCTACTTATAAAAAAACAATCGGATGAGTCCTAATGACCCGTTGACAACCTATTAATCCTGATTTTAGCTTACGTGTCAATTTTTTTGACTTGTATTTCAACCAATCTTAGGTAAATATTTAACGTGTGCCGTATAATCTATTATAAAAAGATGGTTTCAAGAACACTAAAATCGGGATTAGGAGGTTGTAAATAGGTCATTAGGACTTATTTGATTGTTTTTACAAATACACACATTTATATGATACTTTATTGAGTACATAATCTTATGTGACAATTTCATGATAGTAGAAGGCCTTATTTAACCCTTTTCTCTAAAATAATAATCCCATTAAAGGGTAGGTGTATGATAGGAAGAGTTACTCTTGTTTTAGGAATTTAAAACTTTTACTCCAATTCTTGCAATTAACATAGTAACTTTTATTTAAGATTTTTTACTTGGACTGTAATTTGTTGGTCTGGTCTAGTCTAATCCGTTTAAGTCTAGTTCGGTATGGTCTGATCTGAACTGGTCTGTAAACATTTTGTCTCTGTGTATTTTGTAACTACGGAAGTCAAGTCTGGTCTGGTCTATTCAAGTCTAGTCTGATCGATTTACGTCTGATCTGGTCTGATATGATCTGTTTAAGTCGGGTATGGTCTGGTCTGAGCCTGAAAACAGCCCAAGTAAAAACATCCTTACTTCTATGTAGGGAACTACCCCTTTCTTTTTTCTTTTTATATGTAAAACAAATCTATAACAACTAGGTGAAAGCGAGAAGGCCTCTTTTTTTTTTTGTTTGATGGCAAGGCCTTCCCTTATAAACAATAGAGATGAAAATTTTACCACAAAAATTAAAAGAAGTTTTTCTCAAAATATATGAGTAATTACTAATAAAAAAATCTATGAGAAAAATGTGTCTATAAGTTATTATTTGTATTATAGTCATTGTAATGTAACATTTGAGTACAATTATAGTCACCGAAGTTACCAAAGTCACATTTTTGTCCACTACTTTTATTTTGATACTACGTAATATATTTGGTATTATTTCAAATAGGTTTTCCTTGCATGTGACGCTGAAAACATATATGCATGCAACTTTAAGGACAAACCACTCACAAACTTAATAAAAACCTAAACAGCCTTTCTTTACTTCAAACTCTATTTCTTGGCATTGAGATTAAGTGTCAACTGCTCTAAGAAGTGAACAACATGTCCCATATATCAACTCGATTATTGGGATCCGGGTCCAAACATTTCAATGTGAACTCTGTGATTTTATATGCATCAACTTCATTCACCTGTAAATCTCCATTCACAAGAATCTGATTGTTTTTGAAGTCCTGCAATGCAAATGCTCTTGCGCTACTATAATTGTCATTCCCATAATACTCTTTCCTTATCAGGAGGGAGAGTACAGAACCGTCACGTCTGATTTACAAGTCCATGTATCTGCACGAGTTCAACAACATAATTAGAAGTTGTTGAAAACCAGTCTTATAGATAAGAGACTTAAAGCTCAAATCACCAAATGTAAGGAAACTAATGTCATACTCCATCCGTTCTGATGTCATACTCCATCCGTTCTGATTTATGTGTCTCGTTTAGGTTTGACAAAATTTATGAATGAAGTGGTTGAAAAACGAAAATTGTGGTTCCTGTTTTAATAAAATAGGGTGAAATATTATGAACCGCATATTTCTTGTCAAAAAACGAAATTGGAGATTCATTTTGGGACAAACAAAAAAAACAAGATACATAGTACATTACTAAGGACAAAGGGAGTATGTTCGTTTGTATCTTATGCTATGCAGATGTAGGTGGCTCACATGACACATAAATATGGCGGCTTGATGGAACCAAAACTAGTGTTTTTTTTTCGAGTCTTAGTAAAAAAGATGTTTGTTTGAGTTCAATTGACTCTTTATCAATGTTAAAACTTGGAATTTCACCATCATTAGAGGAGTATTCTATTGTAGTACTCTATGTTGCACAGAAACGCGAAAATCATGAAGAAATGAGAAATGGAAAACGACAACTTTTGCTCAAAAAAGATTTGTTTGGAGAGTTTCCAAAGAGTTTACGTAGAGTTCCCGAAACGAAAACATACTGTTTCTCGAAAGTTTCCGTGCAACATATGTAGTACTTGTTGTTGGTTTTGATCTGACCAGTATGAGATAAGTGACATAATGCAAGTTATGATGCAAAAGACAACTACTCATAGTTTCCAGTTACGTTCAGCATATACAACAATAATTTATATAGCATAAATTATCCCATTAATTAATATATTATAAATGTAGAGACTCTCAAAATACAAGCAAAACAATATTGTCCATAATTAGTAATAATAAGTAATATGGAGTAATATATTTTGGCCACCGGTTCAATTTCAAATCAAGTTGGATTTATTTTGAAATAATTATAATGAAAGACCATGC